ATACCAGTCTCATAGATGTATAATGAGGGGACCGTCAAAATTTTGAGGTCTTTAAAGAAAGTGTAGCAGCTGTCGGTAGACTGCAGATTACAAATAGCCCTAATGCATCTTTTTTGACACTTGAAGACCATTTCTTTACCGGTTGCATTCCCCCAGAAAATTATTCCATATCTTAATGTTGATGCTACTAGACCATGGTATGCTGTCAACACTGTTTTTCGGTTTGCAGTTTTATTTAACATGTGTAGAGCATAGGAATATTGATTTAACTTATTACACACCTTATCTATATGAACATTCCATTTCAATGTTTTCTGTATACTTAGTCCTAGAAATTTTGTTACATTTGTTTCATTAATACTTTTTCCGTGATATTCTACAATTAAATTTTTGTATTGATCCATTCGCTGTTCAAATTTCATTATTGCCGTCTTTTCTAGGTTTATGATCAAATTATTATGTTTTAACCAATTTACAACAGATTCAATGTTAGCATTTATATCTGCTTCTAATGTTTCTAAGTCATCACCATCAAATAGTAAGGTACTGTCGTCTGCAAACATGGTCATTGGATATGTTGATGATGTTGGAAAGTCATTTATGTAAATAATAAACAGAGTCGGGCCAAGGACACTACCTTGTGGTACGCCGTAAGTAACAGTTCTCTGACCAGACCTATAAGTTACCTCGCTATCTTTAGTGATTCTACTGATAACTGTCATTTGCCGTCTGTTATGTAGGTAGGATTCAATTAGACTCAATACGTTTCCTCTAATTCCATATGCATTTAGTTTACTTAGGAGTATTTTATGATCAACGCGATCGAAAGCCTTTGTCATGTCCATGTAAAGTGCTACAGCTGGTAATTTCTTATCTACTTGACTGCTAACTTTATCTAGAAAGTCGTATATGGCCATATCAATGGACTTGTTCTTCCTGAAGCCTTTTTGATTGTCAACTAGTAAATTATTTTTTTCAAAATATGAAGTAATTTGATTATTAATTACTTTTTCGTAAATCTTAGAAAATATTGGTACCAGAGCAATAGGTCTGTAACAGGACATATTTTCTCTGTTGTCTTTCTTAAAAAGCGGTTTATAGTAATTTTTAATTCACTGGGAAAAGTCCCACACTCTATGCTCAAATTAATAAGATAACTCAATATTGGTGCAATAATGATGGATACGTGTTTTATAATTTTAGTAGATATATCATCGTACCCAGTGCTAGCTGTGTTTTTGAGCGACATTACAATACGATGGATGTCAACTGGTGAAGTAGGGGACATGAACATCGAAGTATTTTTATTATTATTAATCGTCATTTTATAAGTGTCAATATTGATATGGTCAGTTAATTTTACTTGATCTACAAAGAAGTCATTAAAAGCTTGTGCTATTGCGTCAGGATTAGTTAATAGTTTTTGATTACAGTCAATTTTCATGATATATTCATTTGGTATAGTGGTTTTGTTCCTACTGATGACTTTCCATGTGGCTTTTCCTAGATTCTGAGCTGTGCTGATAAATTTATTATTGTGTGCCCTCTGCGTAAGATTTATTACTTTTTTAAAACGGTTCGAGTGATTTTTTAAATTTAGTTTATTTTGTTCATTAGGCAATCTACGGTACTTCCATAATAATTGTCTTTTCCTTTTGCTACAAATCCTAATACCGCGGCTTATCCATTTTGATTTTATTTTAGTACACATTTTAATTCTGATAATCGGAAAACATAAATTATAAAGCAATACAAACCACTCATAGAACAGCTTGAATGCCTCATTTGAGTCCGGTTCCTGATACACATCGGAAAAAGTAATGCTCTTAAGATAGTTTTTAAACTTATCTATGTTTTCCATAGAGTAGTCTCGTCTTGTGGTAAACCAGTGATCTAAACTGCATGTTTTTTTAACTGGGCACCGTAGAACTTGAGCTGTATGATCAGATATTGCTAGTTCTAATACTTTACCCCTGGCTCCCCGCACATTATGGATTATATTGTCTATGCATGTACCACTACTCAATCTAGTTGGTATTTTTATATCGAACTTAAGATTGAAGCCTGTAATTAGATACTTAAATTGTGTAGAATTGTAAGTGTTTTTTAGTAGGTCGATATTGAAATCACCGCACAGTACCACCTTTCTATTTATATGAAATGAAACTGAACTTCTGCCTACCTCTTCAGAGAATAAAAGGCGAGATGTTCAGTTATGAGATATAATGTCTAATGGAATGTTTCTTTTTAACGGTTCTATGGGAATAAATTAGTACCATTAAACTTTGGAATGTACGTTCATCTGCCACAGGGCTCGTACACAAAACTGCGATGCGACGTCGCATCGCAAAAATGTGCGAGCGCCCTCTACGCATCGCAAGAACTTGTGAATTGATTCGCATCGCGCATCAAAATCTTATCTTCCCAAAATCTTCTTTGTTTCTTTTTCCTGTATATCCTAAGCAATAACAGAAGTGCACACTTCTATTTACGATCCACGACCTATAGTCAGAATTTTAATTAGATTCCGGATTTGACATTAGCTACTGTCATTTTGTGAAATAATGATACCACATATAATAGTGTAGTGATGAACACAAAAATCGATAAAAAATCAGTGTATGTGTTTTATAATAAATGTTACAGAAAGTGACAGCGATAGCGATAGCGATGACGGCGACAATTTATAAAATAAATTATTACCATAATACATCTATCTGTTTTATTTGTTATGTTCCTTCATGATCACATTTTTTTATTTATTTTACACACAATTATAAAAGAAAAATCTCAGATCGTTATTAATCGTCGAAACTAAATTATCGGTTCAGAAATATTTAATTTCCTTATACACTTAGTTTACGAGACTAATATTATAAACGCGAAGAATCGATCCAGAAATATTCCATTTCCATATCGAATAATTTCGCAACGTCACTATTTAGTACTTGTCATAACGCTGCAACACTGAAATTGTCAAATCTGGAATCGAATTAAAATTTCGAGTATAGTTTTCAATTTAAACTGTCAAACACCGCGAGGACACCGGTAACCGCAACCTATTGTTCTATAATTGTGTCTATAAATACGGTACTCGACGACTTAAAATACGTTTAGTACGGTTGACGGTCGTCGAAGGAATGGTCACTCTGGAAGACGCCTTGTCGCACGAAATCGCATCGCAGCAATTCGCATCGCATCGCAGTTTTGTATACAAGCCCTTAGTTATAGCTACTTCATCAACATGATAAAAAAATATATATGAAACTATCTAGTTTACTTTTCAGATACACTTTATAGCAAAGACACGGCGCCACTAGCGTCTTTTTTCATATTCTAGAACCTTCTATAACTTTAAAAAATATTCCTTTTACAACAAAATGTCAAAGTCAAAGTCAAATCAAAGTCGAAAGTCAAAGTCAAAAGTCAAAGTCAAAGTCAAAAGGCAAAGTCAAAGCATGTATTTCATAATTTGTAAATATTAATAAATAGTTACTTTTGAAACGTCAAGAAATACAAAAAATATATAATAGTCTGTCAGTCTGTTCTCATTTAAAAGGTAACCAAATTACCTTTTATACGACATATGTACGTGTGTGCCGGCCGGAGTGATACCACGGTCTCACAGAAAGCCGACGTGAAGCAACGCTTGCGTTGTGTTTCGTCGTCTGAGTGGGGTTACCAGAGGCCCAATTACCCTCCCCTTCCCCAATCTCCCTAATCCCTGAATCCCCAACGATCCTCAAACTCCTAATCCCCAAAAGGCCGGTAACGCACATGTAACGCCTCTGGTGTTCCAGGTGGCCATGGGCGACGTCGATTGCTTACCATCAGGTCATCCGTCTGCTCGTTTACCGGCTTATGCCATAAAAAAAATACGTTACCAATTAATAAAATATTTTTATCAGTAAATATTTATCAATAGAAATGAAATAGAAAAAAACACTAGAGGCTCCGTGTAGTAGTTATGAACTATTTACTTAAGTTACGGTCAAGTTATTTCGCTTTAAAATAGCACCATATATGTATACTACATTCCCATATCAGTTTATTACATAAATCTATATTTACATTGAGTGAACTGGACAAATCATTTAATTTGGACAATAGGGTAGTTTCCAGGGAATCAAAATTAAAAATCTAATTTATCCGTCAGTTAGATAATGAAAAAATATTAGACACATGTTTTTATTTACTCGTATTAAGTTGCAATACTTAGATAAAATCGCGTTAAGTTTAGGAGTGGGAGGTCGTTACGTCATAACGTGCTACAAAATGTGACACGCTGTGACGTCACACGATATTTCAAATTAATATATCGTCGAAAGTATTTAATTTTGTGAGAAAATAAAACTGCTGTTGATGATGAATAATAATAAATAAGTAGAGTCAACGGGACCCCCACTTTTTTGTTTTTCTCAGTATATTCACGTGAGTAACCCACGATTTTTAGTTAATTTAGTATGTCTCACGATAGTTATTATAAAAAAGGTACCCATATCGAACAACACAAAGCCTAAGATAGGTAAATTTAGCCATTCTTCTGTTGAGCATATGCACAGATTGTTGTTCCGGGTCTGGGTGTCATGTGTATGTGAAATTGTATATTTGTAAACGCACCCAGGACACAGGAGCATATCCTAGTATCCTTACTAATATTATAAATCGGAAAGTGGGTTTGTTTGTTTGTTTCACTTTAACGCCGTAACTACTAAAGCGATTGCTTTGAAATTTTGCAGACGTAAAGTCAGAAGTCTGGATTAAATAATAGGGTACTTTTTATTCCTGAAAAATTTGATATTCCCGAGGGAAAACAAAAATACTGGTATAGATGGCGCTGTGTGTATTGGTATATGACACATTGTCTTTTTATCCTTTTGTGACGCGAGCGAAGCCGCGGGTAAAAGCTAGTGAGGGTATAAAAAATAACACATTGATTATTCTATATGGCTTGCCCAGTTCATTCAACTACAGAAGAATATATAAATAGTTATCAGTTACTACGCCTCCGTCTCCAAGTCTGCCTCTATTTCTTCTGGAGTGCGCAGGTCTATTGCAAACCTCTTCTTTGTGGGAGCTGGCTCCTCATATTCTGGAAGAAGAACACGGTTTTTGTTATAAAGAAGAATGTAAAACATCATCTAGAGATTACTCAAGTAGAGGCTTCTCAATTAGGTAGTTCCCAGGGTATCAAAATTAATTAATTAATCTAATTAGTCCGTTAGTATGATAATGAAAAAATATTAGACACGTATTTTTTTATTTTCTCGCATTTACTTACAATATTTAGATAAAATGGCGCTAAGTTTAGGAGTGGGAGGTCGTTACGTCATAACGTGCTACAAAATGTGACACGCTGTGACGTCACACGATATTTCAAATCAATATATCGTCGAAAGTATTTAATTTTGTGACAAAAGAAAAAATACGTGTCTAAACTTTGATTTATTTATTTATTTATTACAACACCTTACAATATGACATCTTACAGTTTATTCCAATGCACTATCATATTTCCTGACACATTTAAGTCCAAAATGTAACTTAATTAATAAAACTTTAACCTTAATTATTAGACTTTACTCTCAGTATGATATAGATATTATAACCAAGTTATAAATTAATGTACCAGACGGACATTAAAATAAAATTTAGGAAACTGGTTATTGTGGGAGAGCCATGCTTCGGCACGAATGGGCCGGCTCGACTGGAGTGATACCACGGCCGAGCAAAAAAACATAGTGAAACAACGCTTGCAGTGATGTTACCGGAGGCCCAATTACCACCCCCCATTAATTAGCCATATAAGTACCATTGAGTAGCCTTTTAATATTCGGGTGTAAGTAGCTTTTTGTCTTTTTTGTTATTTGCGAAGATATCAAGACAACTTTAATGATAGTATTATAAACATACATAACGTCACGCCTCTTGATACCCGAAAGGGTGGGCAGAAGCGATATAGCGGCCACTTTTAACATGTTTTGTTTTGTATTACGGAGAGATACTTGCAAATTTCATTTTAAACAAAAGCTACCATTACCGAAGAATTTCGCTCACAAATCTCGGTATACCCATAAAGTTTTATACTTCAGCTAATACTGAGCCATTTCTAAAGAAGATTTAACATCACAATAATAATATAAAGAGTAAACACGCAAAACTGCAGAATAGAAGAACAGACCTAATAATCGGAACAATCAATATTTAAAAGTCAAAGTCAAAGTCAAAATCAAAGTCAAAATCATTTATTTCAATTAGACCACGAAGGCACTTTTGAACGTCAAAACAAAATATTTAAATATTAAATAATAAGAAAAAATGTCAGTCTGTAGGTCAGTCCTCTAGTGAAGCTATTTGCTCGTTCCAAAGTGTAAATTCCTATGGAGAAGACCGAGCAAGAAACTCCATAGGTTACTCTTTTTCAATCATGTTCACAATACAATTTTTGGTTACATTCTTTCGTTGAGTTCAATAATGTGAGAACAATGTAATACCAATATTTGGTCAAGGAGACGGAAAAAGAAAATAACCTTGAGGACAACAAATTTAATACAGAAAGAAGTAAAGATCCAAAACTGGAGACCAGAAGAGTATAACATACGGACAGAAGAAGACACATCTTCAGAAGACCACAACCAATCCAAGAGTTTGGAAATATATTGAGAATATTCCAGAAATGGAGATGAGATTACCCAGTCATCCTTCTTTGCAAGATTCGAATTGGAGACAGCCAGCCGTCATCTGAAATACACCGGGATAGAGTTTACTAGACGTAAGAATCATCATCATAACATCACGCCTTTTATCCCCGAAGGGGTAGGCAGAGGTGCACATTACACCACTGTACAATGTAACACCCACTTTTCACTATTTATGTTATGAGTCCCATGTAATAGGGGGTGAGTCTATTGCCATATACCGGGCACAATTCCAGACTCCGTGCTATTACTGAGAATATATAAAAACCCAGTAATACTTTGCCCGACCCGGGAATCGAACCCGACACCCCTTGCCCGGCAGTCGCACTTACGACCACTCGGCCAACGAGGCAGTCAGAATCCTTACGAATATTATAAATCGTAAAGTGAGTTTGTTTGTTTGTTTGTTCCGCTTTCACGCCGTAACTACTAAACCGACTGCTTTGAATTTTTGCAGACGTAAAGTTAGAAGTCCGGATTAAATAATAGAGTACTTTTTATCACGGAAAAATTGATATTCCCGAGGGAAAACAAAAGTATTGGTATAGATGGCGCTGTGTGTATTGGTATATGTCACATAGGCTACTTTTTATCCTTTTGTGACGCGAGCGAAGCCGCGGGTAAAAGCTAGTACATACATACATACAAAAATGCCTGGCTTTTTCCTAAGTACATTTCCTAAGATAAGTGTGAGTTAAGTAAAAAATTGCAAAATCTATACTCTGTTTGTTTGTTTAGATGCGCTTATCTCCGCAATTTGGATCTCCGTATTAGGGGATCCGGTAACCTCACTCACGTGGCATCATTCCGGTCGAGCATTCGTGCCGGAGCATGGCTCTCCCACAATTAGATGATCATCATCATCAACAGCCTATAAATGCCCACTGCTGAGCAAAGCCTCTTCTCACACTCCGAAGGTTAGAGCATTAATCACCACGCTTGCTCAATGCGGGTTGGCGAGTTCAAACTTATAATTAGAAATTATAAGCCCAGGTTTCCTCACGATGTTTTCCTTCACCGTTTGTCAGTGGTGTCTAAATAATCTTAGAAAGTACATATAACTCGGAAAAAGTCACATTGGTACTTGCCGTTGGTAAGTTTCGAACCTGCACCCTCGTGCATGAGAAGCAGGCGTCTTCAACCTTCGGGCCACCACGACATTACGACAATTTTTTTTTTATACCACGACTGTGGCAAAAAAGCCCACGGCCCACCTGATGGTAAGCGGTTACCATGGCCTATGTACGCTTGCAACACTTGGGGCATTACATGCGTCTTGCCGACCCTTAAAAAACCTATTCACTCCCCTCTTGAAGAACCTCATGTTTATTTATTAATTTATTTATTCCACTTAATATCTTAAACAAATGTGAGGTGAGTGCAAAATCCCGTCTTACCCTTAACTCATTGTACCCCACCATGCCTAAAATAAATAATGTGGGATACATCAATGGGTAAAACGGATAGACCCCATAGTACCTCAAATATAAATATCTAATAAATTTATTTTGAATTCTCTCCAGCATGAGACTATATTTAGCTTCATGCGGAGATCAGATGACTGCGTTACATTCTAACTGGCTCCCAACTAGTGCGTTATATAGTGTGATGATGGCTTTTATGTTAGTAAATCCACGGACCGTTCGGAGCATGAAGCCTAAGTTTCTAAAAGCCTTTTTACAACAACCCATGACGTGTTCACGGAATGTCAGACCCGTGTTAAATCTTACTCCCAAATCCTTGACTTCTCCGACGATGTTGTAGCCCACTGGGAAAACCACGGCAGGGAGCTCATTCCACAATCGAAGGGTCCGTGGGAGAGAATTCCTCAATTAGATGATGATGAATATTAACGGCAGAAGAATCTTACCAGAGCTGGCCTGCAGTGCCTTCACTCTTCTAGAATAATCTTGAAAAGCTGCTGCTAGCGCGTAAGTCAGACGTCTTGCTGCATTTCTGAAATTATTGTACAAAAAATTTATTACAAGTCAAAGTCAAAGCATTTATTTCAATTAAACCATAGTTTGGTACTTTTGAAACGTCAACAAATACAAAATAAATAATAGTCTGTCAGTCAGTCCGACTAGGTGAAGCTAGGTGCTCATTCCAAAAAGTAGATTCGAATGGAGAAGAACGAGCAAGAAACTCCATTCACTTGATATATAACATAACATAATCTAACATCACGCCTTTTATCCCCGAAGGAGTAGGCAGAGGTGCACAATACAGCACTTTATGCCACTGTACAATGTAACACCCGCTTTTCACTATTTATGTTATGAGTTCCATGTAATAGGGAGTGAGCCTATTGCCATATACCGGGCACAATTCCAGACTCCGTGCTACTACTGAGATTTTTTGAAAAACCCTGTTATACTTTGCCCGAGCCAGGAATCAAACCCGAGACCCCTTGCCCGGCAGTCGCGGAATAAGGCCAAATAAAAATACGATATTTATAACATACAGAAATGATTGATAGACATCAGAACTCATCTTATCTGAACATAAAGTGTGACCTGATTCACAGGCGATAGTGCAAGAATGTAAACTATGTGATCTTTCGAATTGATATCATGACGAAATACTTTCGAAGATATTACCAATATTATAGCTCTTACAAGATTTTTGCGTAATCTCATGACATTATTAACGTCTGAGAATGTTGTTATTGACTCAATATAGTCAATCTATTAAACTGTCAAACACCAAGCGGTCACCGGTGACCGCGACCTATTGTTCTTTAATTGTGTCTATAAAACCGGTACTCGACGAGTTAATGGTTTGAGATATATAACTTAACATAACATCACGCCATTTATCCCCGAAGGGGTAGGCAGAGGTGCACATTATACCACTTTTCACTATTAATGTTATGATTATGAGTCCCATGTTATAGAGGGTGAGCCTATTGCCATATACCGGACAAAATTCCAGACTCCGTGCTACTACTGAGAATATTTAAAAACCCAGTAATACTTTGCCCGACCCGGGAATCGAACCCGAGACCCCTTGCCCGGCAGTCGCACTTACGACCACTCGGCCAACGAGGCAGGCAACGAGGTTTGAGATATATATATATATATATATATACATATTTTTATGGAGTAGAGGTATGCAATGCCATGATTATGATTATGATTATGGTATGATTGGCCCATAAGTAACCTATTCATAGTTTACGCCGCATTTGAAGACATCCACTTTTTTTCTTTTATTAGCGGTTTATTATAATCATCATCAGCCTGGGTCTGGGACCTGGGACTGGTCAGCTCCAGACTGTATGATTTTGTGGTCCTCAAGGTTATTTTCTTTTTCAATCTCTTTGACTGCATTTAGGTGTTGCATTGTTCTCACACAATCGAACCAACAAAACTAAGTAACTAGATAATTGTATTGTGAACCTGATTGAAAAAGAGTAACCTATGGAGTTTTTAGCTCGTTCTTCTCCATAGGAATCTACACCTTGGAATGAGCAAATAGCTTCACTTCTATTTTTTTTTGTTGTTGACGTTCAAAAATGTACCATATACCATGAGAACGAGGGCGAAGAAGCTAGACGGTACAAGCTTTAACAAAATAGTCTTCAAAAAACCATCTTACCTGGACTCACAAACAAAGCCATGACATTCAAAGGGATTTAGACCTTTAACATCAGCAGTATCTTTGACAATGATCATGGAGAACACCCTTGTGTAGACCAGGTCCTGTACTCCATAGGATATCGACTCGATATTGAAGAAGACCGACATTTGGTCAAACTCGTCAGTTTTTGTGCCGTGGGATACCGGTTCCAGGTGGACTCCGTCTAGCGCTATCATTAATTTCACTATGGGCAGGGCTTGACCTGAAATGAGAGTAGTAAAAGACTATAATAATGTTGTTACACCTGAGAAGGCTAGCGTTAGATGGTTGGGTCAAGGGCCTGATGCAAAAAGCAGTACTTTTGAACACGGTACATAACAACGCGTCCTATGATTCCTCTCTCTGGAGCCCTGACCACCAGTATCTTGCATTTCTCCCGTTACTGGTGGGCTACTGATTTTTAAATGTTTTTTTTTATCATCAAATGTAAAGGAGTTAATAATGATTTTTATCGTTAAATGGTAGGTATGTTTAGCTTTGAGAGAGAGAGCCATGCTTCGGCACGAATGGGCCGGCTCGACAGGAGTGATACCACGGCTTTAGAGTACACTGACGTGAAACAACGTTGCGTTGTGTTTTGTCGTATGAGTGAGGTTATCGGAGGCCCAATTATCCCTATACCCAATCCCCGAATCCCCAACAATCCTCAAAAGACTGGCAGCGCACTTGTAATGCCTGTGATGTCTATGGGAGGCACCGATTGCTTACTATCGCCTTTTTATATTTGATGGGTCGACGTTTAACCACTATCTCGCCTGGTGGTAAGCGATGTCGTCGCATAAGTAACCTATTCTCGGGCCTTGAAGACACCCCATCCGTCAAGCGAGCAAACGACACTGAATGGTAAACGATCACTGAATGGTGAGCCTTTTCAGAGGCCATTAGGCTGATCCTTAGTATCCTGTGTATGATCATAAATGTTTCTCAAATTATAATTACCTGGAGGTAATGCCTTAGCTGCAGACACCATGAGGTCGACAGGTTTCCTCGTGTGCTTGATTCCCCATAGTCCACGTGCGTCACTCTGGCCTAAGTACTTCACCTGGAAATTACCAATACAACAATCCTTACTATTATAAATGGGAAAGTGAGTTTGTTTGTTTGTTCGTTTGTTTGTTTGTTCCGCTTTCACGCCGTAACTTATAAACCGATTGCTTTGAATTTTTGCAGACGTAAAATTAGAAGTCCGGATTGAATAATAGGGTACTTTTTATCCCGGAATATTTTGGTATTCCCGAAGGAAAACAAAAGAATTGGTATAGATGGCGCTGTGTGTATTGGTATAAGCTACTTTTATCCTTTTGTGACGCGAGCGAAGCCGCGGGTAAAAGCTATCCTTACTATTATAAATGGAAAAGTGAGCTTGTTTGTTTGTTCCGCTTTCACGCCATAACTTCTAAACCGATTGCTTTGAATTTTTGCAGACGTAAAATTAGAAGTCCGGATTAAATAATAGGGTACTTTTTATCCCGGAAAATTTTGGTATTCCCGAGGGAAAACAAAAGAATTGGTATAGATGGCGCTGTGTGTATTGGTATAGGCTACTTTTATCTTTTTGTGACGCGAGCGAAGCCGAGGGTAAAAGCTAGTTAAATATAAACACACAAACATATTGTCACACCTGTCTTCCATTGTGGCACAGCCTTTTATCCCCACTCTTAAACTTTGATTCGTTTTATCTAAGTATTGTTCTATTATACGACAAATTAAAAAAAAGTACATGTCTAATATCTTCATTCCCTAACTTACGGACTGATTACATTTTTAATTTTCATACCCTGTCATCATCCCAACTATTACAAAGATTTTCCATTTCTGAAATTTACATAATAAAGTTGCATAACAATTGTCACGTGTGATGAAAATGCAATAAATACGTAGTGAATAGTTTTTTATTTAAATATCATAATTTATATAACTACATAAATATTTACAACTTAAAATTAACTACAACTAAACTATTAAATAAAAAGAAAGTAAAAGAAAACAACAAAATTATACCCTTAATTTAGGCGTCAAAGTATTCGTCCGCATCACTATCACAGGGGAAAGTTCCCAGAAGACTGGCAGCATTGCCACGTTGAATGGCAATGCTTATTTTCTGTCCGAAGAAAAAGCCAGCCCTCTGGTCACGTGTAGAGTCGATTAGCCTACGGGCGATGTCTTTATACACAGAGTGTGCACTGGGACCCCATGGCCCAAGTGTTTCGACCCCAAACGGCTCAAAACAGTAGTTACCCACTAGATTTGAATATTTACGCCGTTTGAGGGCCTCTGCCGCGGAAGCAGCTGCACCAACGCATGCAGCGGTGCTTAAAAGATGTGATGGCGCAAGGGTGTCTACACACGTCGCGTCCCACACCAAAGGCCTACCCATCTTCCAAGGCAGCAACGACATACCATCTGGTAATACGTAGTTAATAAAATATTCAGTATTAACCATTATATTAAGTGCTTCGAAGTACTTTAATAGTACGTTACAATTGCAATAGTAAATAATCTTATCAATATATTTAGCTATAAGTATTTAATCAGTTAACATATAGTTCTTACTTTTCTAATCGGTTTGCTATCTATATTCTATAGTACAAACAAAACACTCCTTACCATTGTAAGGAGTGTTATGTATTTAGCTGTCGCAACGCAATTATATACCAATTTTCTATCAAATTAGATAAATATTATTAAGCACATAACATAACATCACGGCTTTTATCCCCGAAGGGGTAGGCAGAGGTGTCAAAATCTTCGTCCAAGTCCAACAAACACTTTTCTGAAAATGACATCAAAATCAGTTCAATCAATTGCGAGGTAATTGAGAACCTCTTAGTTTTTTGAAGTCGGTTAAAAACATAACAAACGACAAAAGGATGTACAAACTAAGAACGTGAGCCTCTGCCTACCCCTGCGTGAAGTTATGTTACCTGACCCATTCTCCAATAAGGTCTAACCAACGGAACTATACGGACGTGTTTGGTTTTTTAATTAGTCATAATGATAGTGAAATGTTACTTCTATACCTATACCGTATCTTTAACATTAAACATACATGTAAGTACATAACTTCACGCCTGTCTCCCATGGGGGTAGACTATGGAACGCCAATTGCTACGATTCGCTTCATCAACAGTCATCAATCTTTTCATGCATTCTCGTCGGTTAAGGGTACTTTTAATTTGGCTCTTCTTTAATACCTATATCGCCAATCTGGTCCATATACGTTATAGGGCGCCCTCTACCGACATCCCTATTCATATCCGCTCTGTATACTTCTATCGTTATTGTACTTTCATCCATCCTTTCTACATGTCCAAACCAGCGTAATATTCCCTTTTCAATCCTTGTCAGTATATCGTCTTTCAATCCACACTTTTCTCTAATAACACTATATTTTACTGGATCACTCAATTTTAGTCCACACATACTCCTCAGGGACTGCCTCGTTGGCCGAGTGGTCGCAAGTGCGACTGCCGGGCAAGGGGACTCGGGTTCGATTCCCGGGTCGGGCAAAATATAACTGGGTTTTAAAAAAAATCTCAGTAGTAGCACGGAGTCTGGAATTGTGCCCGGTATTTGGTAATAGGCTCACCCCCTATTACATGGGACTCATAACATAAATAGTAAAAAGTGGGTGTTAAATTGTACAGTGGTACAATGTACACCTCTGCCTACCCCTTTGGGGATAAAAGGCGAGAATTTTTAAAAAAACCCAGTAATACTTTGTTCGACCCGGGAATCGAACCCGAGACCCTATGCCCGGCAGACGCACTTGCGACCACTCGGCCAACGAGGCAGTTCTCTCTATAGATTGCAGTTTAAAACTACTTTACATTATACCCGACTAGATTAACAAACACGTACATTATATCGAAGGTATCTCATCTATGTTGCACAGATAATAAATAAACCCAATTATGCCGTCCGCCATTGTTGCTAGAGGAAGTGACGTCACACTACTACGCATAATGAGCACCGGTGTGTTAGTATTGTGATGTTGGTACTTTTTGTATGTTACGGTTGTGTGCAGAGCCGTATTATCCCTAAGGTGAAACTAGACAAGAGACTAGGGCGCCAGGATACAGACTAGGGTCTCAAGACGCCGTGCCCAACTGCCCAAAGAGTGGCGGCGCTGACAAAAAATTGGGGACTTTCCTTAATCAAAACTAAATTATTTCAACTGTTCAATACAATACAATGTTAAAAAATAATGACACTTTCATTAATTTGATTATATGACCAACTTATTTTAGTATTTTTTCAGCATTTTCTTAAGAATAAAAACGTTGTTTGACGCAAAAAAAAAGTGACGTCACAATACACAATCTCGTACAAAATTCATAGAAAACTGTCGTTTTTGACAGTTCGAAAAAAGTATTGCCATTTGACTAGATGGCAAGTACACAATTAGGGGCGTCAATGAGGAATACCTAGTTGAAATTAACATTAACTCGTCGAGTACCGGTTTGATAGACACAATTAAAGAACAATAGGTCGCGGTCACCGGTGACCGCTTGGTGTTTGACAGTTTAAACAATGTCAATTACATTGACCCCCATACTAACTAGTCTAGTAATTTTAACTAACCATACACACATCAATAACAACACGCCTGTCATGGTAGGCAGAAACTATGGAACGCCAATTACTACGATTCCTACATACCTCTTTCGCTTCATCAACAACAGTCATCAATCTTTTCATGCATGCTCGTCGGTTGATCACTTTTATTAATTTGGGTTATTATTTTTATATTTTTGTGACTGCCTCGTTGGCAGAGTGATCGCAAGTGCGACAGTTTGTTGTAGATAGATAGAAAAACAGGTTAGAAAGGGTTTTTATTGAAACAAAAATGGTATTTGTTGGTGTATTACAGTGCATCGTTGGCCGAGTGGTCTTAAGTGCGACTGCCAAGCAAGGGGTCTCGGGTTCGAATCCCGGGTCAAGCAAAGTATTACTGGCTTTTTAAAAAAAATTCAGTGGTAGCACGGAGGCTGGAATTGTGTCTGGTATATGGCAATAGGCTCACCCCTCACTCATAACATAAAATAGTGAAAAGTGGGTGTTACATTGTACAGTGGCATAAAGTGTCGTAATGTGCACCTCTGTCTACCCCTTCGGGGACAAAAGGCGTGATGTTACGTTATATTTTTGTGCGATCATGTTTTTCTGACCTCTTGTCTCTATTTTGTACTTATTGTGAACTTCAAACACAATGTAAATTGTTGAATGAATGATTTGGTACCCTTTTTTTTTTCAGGGGGGAAAATCATCCAAATGATTTGATACTCTGCTGCTGAACTATGACTGAGTTTCCTCTAAGACCTAATAGAGGTCGCAGGCAGTCGTATCCAGGTCGCTTTCAACCTCGCGATGTGTAGTCATTGGTGGAGGACTGTGGGGGGCAGGGGACAGTACGTGGCTGTACGCATGATGATGATAAGAAAGGTGACTCACTTGAAATGTCATGGGCAGATCCTCAGCCGTCACGGGGCCTTCCTTGTGTTCCTCTTTTTCTGACATTTTGATATATTATATTCACATCACTTTTCAGTCTTTTGTTTTATTTATTATCTGTCGCGTAACTTACAGCCTTCACATTATATTACCTGTAAGTAAAGAAAACAGTGATTATTGATTTAAAAAACAAATCAGAATAACTTATTGTCTATAGACATCGCGGTAGGCCCAGAAGGAGATGGCGGGTGAACTTGGACGCCTATGAAAAAGATTGATCACAGAATGTCAATAATTAGTCAATGTCAAAACTATACAACCCCAATTGTAGCTGTTAAAACAGCATTCAAAGTACGAAATGTAAAGATAAAGTCAATAATTGGGCCTCCGGTAACCTCACTCACACGACGAAATACAACGTAAGCGTTGTTTCACGTCGGTTTTCTGCTCGGCCGTGGTATCACTCCGGTTGAGTCGGCACATGCGTGCCGAAGCATGGCTCTCCCACACTTAGTACACGTAGTTTATATAATTATTATTATTGAGATAAAATTCCAGAAACGCAATGACATAGTAGGTGGACGTTTCATAGCTTATTCTTAAATTCCGTAATATACGCGTGCAAAGCCGCGGGCATCGGCTAGTATGAAATATAACAAAATGAAGTAATACACACAAGAATTTCTTTATTCATATAACATTGAAGGTTACTGTTATCGACTTATCAATCTATATACTATGCATGTACATATATTGGAACGTGCTCTTCACAGCAATACCGTCATACTTGACTACTTAATTATCTAGATAGTATTTCTAGATGCCTTTCTGACTGCCTCGTTGGCCGAGTGGTCACAAGTGTGACTGCCAGGCAAGGGGCTTCAATTCCCGGGTCGGGCAAAGTACTACTGGGTTTTTAAAATTCTCAGTCACACGAAGCCAGGAGTTGTGCCCAGTATATGGCAATAGGCTCACCCCCTATTACATGGGACTCATGACATAAATAGTGAAAAGTGGGTGTTACATTGTACAGTGGCATTAAGTGCCGTAATGTACACCTCTGCCTACCCTTTCGTGGATAAAAGGCGTGAAGTTATAAGTAAGTATTTCTTTAGAATTATTCTAGACTAACAACATTAATGTTCCTTGACAGTCCACTGCTGTGAGCAGCCTCCTCTTCATAAGAGAGGTTGTCATAAGGTCTAAACCTAGCATGTTGACATAAATAGGTCGCAATTGGATTCCGCGTTACAAGACTCTGATAAAATCAAATACTATGCTCGGGAATAGCACTTGAGAGTCCATTTAATCAACGAAGCAGTGTATCAAATGTTTTTTGCAATATAAATATTACTCTCTGCACAAACGGAATAATTCAGCACAGGGAATAATGCTAAAATAACACAGACAAAGTCGAAAGCAAAAGCCAGTATTCAAAACATTTGATTTAAAAACTCGATCGCCGCATGAAGATTACACCTGTTTTATTTTGTAACGGTCGAGCCAACTGTGTTCCCCTAAATTTAACAGGGGAACAGGTGCGTATACGCAAAAAATGACGCTTTTTTGTGGGATGGCTACGCCGCCGGTACACGAGCAGACGGATCACCCGATGGTAAGCAATCGGCGCCACTCATGAACACTCGCAATACTTATAGAGTTAACATTTTTTTATGGGACAAGCTCTCCACAATATCCCAAAACCACTGCAACTCCTGTAAGCCAGAATCTACTGTAGATACAAACATGAAAACACCGGAACACTGTCCAACGTCCAAAGAACATGACCAATTATCTTGGATCTCGCAACGAAAAGATGTTTTTATAATAACTATCGTGAGACATACTAAATTAAATAAAATGTTGGGTTACTCACGTGAATATACTGAGAAAAACTCTACTAGCTTCGAACTACAGAGGGGTTCTTCCTCATGAGCAGCGTGCGCGGTCGCGGTGACGAAACTAGTGGAGCTTTTCTCGGTATATTCTCGTGAGTAACCCGCGATTTTACTTAAATCAGAAGATATTATCAGAGGAGAGGCAAAATGATTAGAAATTTGTTACCGGCATTTTTTTTATACTTGATAGGTCGACGTTTGACCACCATCTCGCCTGGTGGTAAGCGATGATGTGGCCGACGATGGAGCACGCCTACCTATGAGCAACCTGTTCACTCGGGACTTAAAGACACCCGAGTCTCCGGCAATGAATTCCATTCCTTAGCGGTTCGCATGAGGAAGCTTGACGTGAAACGCTTCGTGCGAATGGGTGGAATGTCCACCATATAAGGGTGGCGCCCTGCCGTTCGTCTGGTGGTACGGTGGTGAAACAGACTAGGGGGAATAAGGTTGTGCAATTCCCACGCACACTCACCGAAATGTATCCGATAGAAGACCGAAATTTTTTGAAGAATGTTAAGTTAGAGAACCAGGTGTTTGGTGTAAGATACCATGAAGAAGTTTATAATGATCATCAGCAGTCCGTGACAGTACATTGCTGGACTATGAGCCTCCTCTACATAAGAGGGGTTTGCCATAATCGGCCGCAGTGTAAAAGGTTCAGGTATATCAGAGAGCGCTGCTGCACGGTCTCTGTCAAATGTGTAGTCCCTTAGTTGGGTATACGACACCCGCGGAAAGAGTAGGAGTGGTGAGAAATGTATTATTCTGCTGTAAAATAAAATAGACTTGACTAAAAAGTAAAAGAACTCATTAATTTTTGTACTCAGTAAAATGTATGACACAATATGTTTATTTTTAACTGCGCACACGAGCTGGCATCTGTGCAAACTATAGTTCATATGCAACAGTTTAGTTTTGACCTTGGGCATCTAGAATATAGTTAAAACAATAGTTTTTATTACTGAGTTATGTCTACGGGTGAAATACATATTTAAAAATTAATGTAACTTAACTTTATGCCTTTTATTTAACAAACGAATAAGCAGAGGTGTGTCGTGGTAATCTGAACTTTTCAGACGACCTTTTTTTATGCAAACGGCGGGTTCGAAACCTACCAATAGCAAGTACCAATGTTACTTTTTCCAAGTTATATGTACTTTCTAAGATTATGAACCACTGACAAACGGTGAAGGAAAACATCGTGAGGTAACATGGGGTTATTATCGCCTCATCCAGGATGGGAGAAGAAATTGGATGATGTCCTCCGCTCAAAAAATGATCCCTATTTCGGTTCAACCCGACTGATAAGTTATTCTACCTATCCTGCCACTGTTATAGTACCATTTGACCTTGCCATGTATAACGCACACGGGTTTCGGATGGGTGACCGCGATGAATCAGTTTTTCATTACTTTATGCGCTTTCATTTCCGGCCGTAAACTAGTTGTATGTGGATAAACATCAAACATTAGCCGTGTGGTAGAGTACAATACATTTATTAACCACCGCTACTCTTCCCGTGGGTGTCGCATACCCGAATAAGGGACTACACATTTGACAGAGACCGGGCAGCAGCGCTCTCTGATAAACTGTATCAATGAGATTGTAAACATATATTTTTTTAATAGTAACGATGGAGTTTCTTGCTCGTTCTTCTCCATTCGAAACTACACTTTGGCTCTAAACAGAAGAACCCTATTTCATCTGCAATCCAACTGGAAATTGAAGTTTTAAATGCAGTTTGAACGCAGTTGACACGACTGCAATCACACTGCATGTTTTTTTTAGAGGGGAAAATCATCGAATGACTGCTCCCGCCTGGGTGAGGCGGGAGGAGTGTCAGACTCTTACTGACTAAAAACCACGCCGTTCCTACTCCTGCCCTTCGAGCCGGAGCCCCGGCTAACCCGGTCCTCGCAGTAATAGACTGCGCGTTTGGTTTGTAATTCAATTACGCAATTGCAGTCATGACAGCATTCAAACTGGATCGGAACTGCAATTCATGGTTCGTCTGCCTAGAGCCTTAGGAATGAGCCCTTAGTTTCACTGACAGATAGACGGACGGACAATTCAATTTCATCATCATCAACAACCTATAAATGCCCACTGCTGAGCAAGGCCTCTTCTCACACGGAGAAGGTTTGACCATTAATCACCACGCTTGCTCAATGCGGGTTGGCGATTACAAACTTATAATTAGAAATTAATTAGAAATTATAAGCCCAGGTTCCCTCACGATGTTTTCCTTCACCGTTTGTCAGTGGTGGCTGAATAATCTTAGAAAGTACATATAACTCGGAAAAAGTCACATTGGTACTTGCCGTTGTTAGGTTTCGAACCCGCACCCTCATGCATGAGAAGCGGGCGTCTTAAACCTCCGGGCCACCACGACATTTTACAATGACAGGAACAATGAAGGACAATTCAATTTGAACGTTTCAAAAATGCCTAATTAACCCTTTGAGTAGTCGCGGAGAACCTAACGGGTAACCGGGGCTCCGGCTCGACGTGCAGGAGAAGGAACGGGGTGGTTTTTAGTCAGTAAGAGTCTGACATTACCTCCCGCCTCACCCAGGCGGGAGCACCCATTCGATGATTTCCCCCTTCTTAAAAAAAACCCTTTGAGTACCGTCATTATAGACACAATTAAAGAACAATAGGTTGCGGTCACCGGTGTCCTCGCGGTGATTGACAGTTTAAGGATGAATTGAAATAAATACTTTGAGTTTGACCTTTTAGACTGCGATATCCAACCCGCCTACCAAGTTTGGAGATTATGACTGAGCCTCCTATGGAGAGTGTGGAATGATATGTCGTCGGCGGTATTTCCGAACCGATACGACCTTCAAACCTTCAAGAAAAGAGCGTACTCCCTTTTAAAAGGCCAGCAACGCACCTGTGACTCCTCTGGTGTTGCGGGTGTCCATGGGCGGCGCTGATCGCTTACCATCAGGTGATACATAGCCTCGTTTGCCTCCTATTCCATAAAAAAAGGATGCTCATAGAGTTCAGCAGTACACTGTCACACACGCGGTACCAATATTGTTGTGTCATCGAACTAAAATCATATCAACAAATATCGAAAGATAATTTTTATTACGTCAGCTAATATATATACCTTGATTTTGATAAAGAGTGCACCAAAAATATATAAAATAAGTACGC